TGAGGTCAAAGGGGAATTCGTTTTCGGAAACCGCTTCTGACAACCTCGTGCCGGGCCCTGCCGGCAAATGGACAATGCCTCATAAACAACGTATGCTGTCATCATTCAATACTCAAGCATAATGCTATTTTATGAAATGTTAGTAAAGTGGAAGATTTTTGAATTCCTATACAACAGACAGCATTAACCCTTACCTGAGCACTAGTCTCTTCTGTTCTTTCTACATCGCTGCCGGCTTTTACTTCGTCATCTCTGGTTCTCGAAATTACCACATTTGGTACGTTGGACGTTCCCTCTTCTGGTCTTCGCCTTCTAGAAATGTTTACTTGCAAAAATATCACAAAACACTCAGCAATTTCTCAAACCTTTTCTCATGCGAGATATCATGAAATGAAGACACTGAGTACACCTTCATCTCAGTGGATGTATCGTCGTGATGCGCCCTTACTGGTATTCCTCCTTAGGGGTCTATTTTATGGACCTAGGTCAAAGACGAAGAAAATCGTACCTCGATAGTCACGAGCCGGACTTTCCGAAGCCGTAGGTCGTTGTTTCCGTCGACGATAACGTTTTTCATCCAAATCGTGCATGTTGAACTGCTCCATATTTACAGTTGTACTTGATTTTTGTAGATTATATCTTCCGCTGCCACTGCAATAAAACCAAGTTGCAACAAACTAAATTTTCTAGAAATTAAATTTTTTAAATTTCTAGAAACAATGCTATGTCCAGGCAAATGTGCTTATTTAAGCTTTCTATGTGGATAGTATTTTGGGAGACTTAACTAAGTCATTGCATAAGCAATTGCTCAAGTGTTTTACTTGTAACCGAGAAGTCTAACTTTTAACTTATGCACAGACGCTAGTGTTCTTTGCAGACAACGGTTTTCGAGTACGGTAAAGGGTACGGTATGGATGGGAGTGCGGAATTGCATTTTTTGGCCATGATTCTGAATAGCTGACAGTAATCAGAAAAAAACCCTGATCAACTTGGAGAGTACCTTAAAAATTTTGCGGAAAAATATTTGATATCTCCATGAGGAGCATGACGCTAATTTACAGTGGGGTTGAGGAACGAATACCTCAATTAAGCATCGCCCTCTGCGGACTTCTGGTCCTTTCGCCCTGGCATTGTACATCGCATTGGGACCAGTGGTCCGCGAAAGCGGTGCCTAATTGAGGTATTCGTTCCTCTACCCATCAACTTGGAAAAACCTTAAAAATGATGCGAAAAAATATTAGATATCTCTATGAGGAGTATGACGCTAATTTCCAGTGATATCGAAAGCTGAAGTCAATGAAAACTTATTCAGAATGCTTACGTAACTAGATCAATTTCTTAGTAGGGCTAAAGTGTTGGCTAAATTGTACTAATTTTTCTAAGAAGACCAATCAGCGCTCTAGAGTACGGTAGGGACTACGATATGGGAGAGTTAGTCAAATTTCTCGTCCACAAATAAATCATATGAGCTGCCGTCAAAGCAGACTACCCTAGCTAAGGTCTCCCTGTCAGCTACACATAAGAAACTTAGTTTTCCAGGTTTGCATGAACATCGCATTCAAATATCAACCCGTGGTAAATTCGATGTTTTGGGAAAGTTTCAATTCATGATTATAAATGGGTTATCCCTCATGAAAGTGATGAAAACCCACTTTTTAGCGAACGTATTCCTCGATATCGTCCCGTTGGGACTCCGCGAATGACTGATTTTTCGCCGACCCGGAAGACTAATCGTGTCATAGCGTTGCGCTTCATGACGCCTATTCAACATAAACATGTGCTCGTTTTTGCATTATCAGAAAAAGAGCAGTTTACTTACGCTTCTTGGCTTCTTCCAAAACTTCGCACACTTTTCGTATCAGCGAATCGACTACGCCCTCGATTCAACGACGGATGACGACGTACATTGTTATAACGCTGGTTCGACCG